TAAACCCTAAACCCTAAACCCTAAACCCTAAACCCTAAACCCTAAACCCTAAACCCTAAACCCTTGATGATGGATCGTTCGGCGATGCGGCGGTAGATTCAAGATAAATGGCTTTGAAACACACAACCCTAAACCCTAAACCCTAAACCCTAAACCCTAAACCCTAAACCCTAGAGTTTGTTTATATTGTTTTCTATAGAGTGATAAGCCAGTGTGTAAGAAACACCGAACGGGGGTTCTCCTCGAGGGTTTAGGGTTTAGGGTTTAGGGTTTACAGATGCTGTTTTGAATGTATATAAAATATTATTTATATTATTTATAATTTATTTATTTTATTTAAATATTAAAAACAAAGAAACCTCTATATGGCCGAGGGTGCGGTGCACAGCGAAGCATGCAGCCGACAGCTCGCGGGGCCCCCCAACCCTTAACCCTAAACCCTAAACCCTAAACCCTAAACCCTAAACCCTAAACAAAGGTTAAAACATTCTGAAAAAACATTTTTTTTATTTTATTTTGTTTCATCTTCTACTAAAACAAAAGTCGCCGCCGAAGACATGCGCAGCGCGGCTTCGCCGCGATCACCCCTCCAAACCCTAAACCCTAAACCCTAAACCCTAAACCCTAAACCCTAAACCCTAGACTTGTATGCTGTTTTATTCAATCATAATATATTAAACTATATCAACTTCAATCTGCTGCTGTTGAAGCTTCTGGTGTCAGCGAATGCTGCAGCAAGCAGCAAAAGCAGTGAGGGCGGGGGGCCCCCTTTGGGGGCCCCTGGGGGCCCCCCTGCGTCTTCATCTCTTTGAGGGGGCCCCTGGGGTCCTGAGCGATCGCCGTGGGTACATGGGGCCCCGAAAGTTTCCCGGAAGCAGCAGCAGCAGCAGCAGCAGCAGCAGCAGCGGCAGCAACGACAGCAGCAGCAGCAGCAGCAGCAGCAGCCGAAAGAGCAGCATGAGCAGCAGCTTTCCTCCTGCTTCTTTCTCTATATTTGGTCTTACATCTATGGTAACAATTAAACCCTCCCCTCCAACTCTAGACACGGTCTCTATAGGGGGCCCCCAAGGGGGGGGCCCCCAGGGGGCCCCCCAAACCTTCACACGAGAAGGGGGTATTGTATTTTCTTTTTTACCTAAACTAGCATCGCAGAAAACCTTTGATAAGTCTGCGCGGCTGACGGTTCTCCTCAAGGCGAGGCATATTGGGTGTTTGCTTGGGGGG